GCTGGGGTCCATCTGATGGGGGTTTGAAGTTGGAGAGGGGCACAAAGTGTGGTGTCCCCACCCACCTCTGTGGGCACTGGAGATGTGGACACCCGGGAGTCAGGCAGCCTTGGGGGACAGTAGCAGCGGGGTCACACTCTGCGTGTCCTCCGGTTGACCCACTGACCAGGCCTTGGCTTCTCCTGTCCCTTCCTTGGGTTTCTGATCTGAAGAGATGGGGACTGCTGATGAAGCAGGTGGCCCCTCCCCTCTCTGCGGGAGCTGCAGGACAAAGATAAGCATTAACAGGAGGAGCCTGTGGGCGGCAGGGGCATGGTCCCCTCCCCTTCCTCATTTACCCAAGGCAGGGCCGCCCAGCCGCTCCCCCTCGGTAGGGCCGAGCGCCCACCTCTGACTGGCAGAGGACAGGCAGAGGTGCCAGGGCAGGATCCTGGGCAGGGCTGGGCAATCGGGGGACAGACCGACACGGACTCTGCCCCGGGGAAGAGCCCGCAGCAATGAAATTCCTCCCAACTGCCTCCGCTGTGTCTCTGTCTCTTGGTTCCTGTGAGTGCTGGGGGCTTTTGTTTTTAAAGTGTCATTAGGCTGAGTTGGTGGCCCGCACCTGTAACCGCAGAGACTCAGGACGCTGAGGCAGGAGGATGGCAGCCTGGGCAACTTAGCAAGACCCTGTCTCAAAGTAACAACAAAAGGGCTGGGATGTGGCTCGGTGGCAGGGTCTTGCCTAGCCCACGTCAGGCCCAGGGCTCATCCTCATCTCCCCCCCCAAAAAAAATTATCATTACATCTAAGGGAAGGATGGGAAATTCGGTAGCAGCAACAAAGGCATGGCGTGCCATGGGCTCCCCTGCCCAGTGGGCCAGGCCCTGCCTCACCAATGCCACCTCCCCCAATCCAGGCACCTCTTCCATTCTGGCCCCACTGGCTTTGTGAGTGCTGTTAGGCCTGAGTTCTCCAAGCTCATTCCCACCTCAGGGCCTTTGCACCTGCTGTTCCTGCTTCCTGGAACACTATCCCCTGAACTTCTCCAAGCCTGACATTCGTCAGTCCAGGCTTAGCCAAGCAGCTCCTCCACGCAGCCTTCATGGACTACCCCATGTCATCATGCCCCGAGTCCTAGCTACTCTTTACCTCATTGTCCTCTTTTGCTTCTTTGTAAATCTTACTAGTTACTTACTATTACTAACTCGTATTTATTGAACAATTACTATGCACCTAGGAGCCCTCTTAACACGTTGTACAGTTATCTCTGTGCATTTTAATTTACGTGCCTTTAGGGTCAGTGCCGCCCAGCAGCATCTTGCCCGGCACGTGTGAGGCCCCGGAGTTCTCTTGGTAGTAATGAAAAAAAAACACGTGTTTAAATCTCCCAACTTCAAGAGATAGGAACAGTTACGGCCCACTGCTTTTGCACCTGAGGAAAGTCGGCCGTGCCTGTCCAAGATGACCAGCTGGCCCGTGGTGGCGGCAGGGCCCAGGCCTCCCCCGGACGCCTCCCCTTGCTCGTCTCCTCCGGAGCCAGTGAAGTGCTCTGGGTGGAGGAGATGAATGGCCGGACGCGGCCATCAGTGCACGTGGACCAGCCTGTCGTGGGGCTGAGCTCCCCACCCACCATCTCCAGGGACGTCCACGACGGTGTGGGCCTGGGGAAGGTCAAGGGCATGTGGCCGAGCTTGGCCGGAGCAGCGCTTGCTCCTGAGAGAATGACGGAGGGAGGAACCAGGCCAGGTCAGGTGGCCCCATAAATTAGAACAACACCCAGAGCCATCAACCCTACGCGGGAGGCCCTGCCAGGAGGTGCTCCGGCTCCAGTTCCAGGCCGGTGCCCGGGGGGGAGAGCCTGCCGTCCCGTCTGCAAGCCTACCGCCTCCCGCGGAGCTGGGACCCTGAGCGCTCTCCCTGCTGACCACAAGGCCCTGAGTAGGGGTGAGGTCGGGGTGCAGGGCCTCCCCCCCAGCCACACCTAAATTAAGTTTGAGGGGAGAACAGTTTTGGGAGACCACCCTTTCCACCCAGCCATGCCAGATCCTGTGCCCAGGGGCTTTGAGGGCCTGACCTTCCTTCTCAGTCATTCACCTAAGGTCCTGGGACAGGGAGACGCTGGGTGTGCCAGCTCCGTCTCTGACCCCCACCGACCTAGTCAGCAGGGGCTCTAGAGGCTCTAAGACCTCTCATGGTCCTGAGCCAGGTACGGCCCCGCCCCCGCTGCCCTCCACCTGGGGCCTCTCCACCTGGGGGTGCTCTGCAGGAGGGAGCGGCCAGACCTGGATCCCAGGGGCCTGCAGTTCACCGCACACGCTGCCATAACTGTCCCTGGGGTTTATTGGGAGCAATTGCTCGTCCCCGTGGGCCTCCATGTGCTCATAGGTAAAACAGGGTGGCCTTGGTACAGGCCTCATGGGTTACCCAAAGGATGGACCGTAGCAGGGATTGGTCCAGTGCCTGGGGCATAATAGACACTCAGTACGTAGCTACCATGCCTTAGTTTGGGGCTTATTGAGATGAAAACAAATCATGATAAGATGTGGCTCCTGCTCTCAAAGGCTTCCTAACTAACTCTCGTGGGGAGGACGCTGAACACTTGTTGCTGTTGTCTGAAGCACAGGGAAGGAGAGGTGAATCCTGGCTGGTGGCGTCAGGGAAGGCCTCCTGGTCCCGGTGACAGCTCAGCTGGGTATCGAAAGATGCACGGGTCCTGAGTGAGCCCGAGGACCTGCTCCATGCGAGCAAGCGTACCTGGTGGGAAAGTGACCGGGAACACTAAGACTAGAGGGTTGATGAACTTGAACCAGGGCTTCGAAGGCGTGGCTCAGGTGTTGAACTCTGGTCTGGAGGTAGCAGGGAGCTGTGGAAGGCTTCTGAGGAAGAGAGGAACTGTGGAGGAGATTGCGTCATCACCAAGGAGAGGCCCGGGCAGCTGGAGGCACCTGTGCCTAGTGAGGAGGGAGGCTGAGGTTGCCGGGGGGAGGAGGAGGAGGCTGCCTGGAGACAGACGTCATGGCTGGCCTCGCTGATGCCTGCCAGGGCAGCTGCCCACCCTCCGGCTCCAGCATCACCATGCAGAGCACCAGGTGTGAGGCCTGGATGGAGACCTGGCCTCCCTCCCCTCTGTCCTCGAGGGTGCTCGCCACGGTCGCATGCCAGGCTGGCACCCAGGACTCCCCCTTCCAACTCCTCCAAAGACCCGAGGGCAGGATGTCACACCCAGGCTGCCAGGAGCTGGGGTCACTCTGGGGATGAGCCCCGGCTGGTGTTAACGAGGCCCAGGCCAGATGGACAAGCGGCGGGTGCCCGGTGCCAGCCAGGAGCAGGCATGTCGTGCCGTCAAGTCTGGGACTGAGTGAGCCTCCCCAGCACTGCAAGGCCAAGCCGGTGACCTGCCCCACGGACTGAATGAAGACCAGAGAGGCTGGGTAGCTCCCCAGAGGCCACACAGCACTTGAAGGGCTAGGCAGATGTCCTTTTGCTTGACACCCACCGCTTGGCCATGTCTTTCCATTTCCAGGGTCACCATCTGGTCCCATGCCCACCTCATCCCTCGCCCGGGTGGCCATGGCAATCACCTGCCCACTGCTCCTCCACTTCCGCTATTGCTCCTGATCGTGGGTGAGCTTCTATGGTGCCCAAATGATCAGGACCTTCCAGTGACTCCCCTGGACTCCAGGGGCCTTTGGCCACTGGGCCTCGACTTGACTCTGCAGACCCGTTTTCTGTGTCGCCCGCCCCCCCCAATTCCCCAACCCTCCCCCACAGTCTAGGAGTCTCCCTCCACGCACCCCCCACCTTGCTCACAAATCCATTCCTGCTCGCCTTCTTGCCGTTTCTCGAACACGCCG